ATATTTGTACGGAATGTTTTGAACGACTCGTGAACAAAATTTTACATGGTGATAAAATGGTGTATTTCTTATATTTTGTTCAGATTTTTTAGTTTCCTCCTGTTATAAAGGGTTAAATTTATTATTAGTGGAATGGAAATGGCTTGGATGGAAGAGTAACAAGGCCGAATTGTTAACAAGCGACATGGGATGACAAAATGGCGCCGAATTTGGACAAAGTTGTGGATTTACCTTGTCGATGGTTAAACAGGTATGATCTACTTGAAACCAAGTTGAAACTTATTTAAAATGTTCTTGATACCATTATGTCTGAGATGATTTACATTTTTTGTAGGATGTCGACGAGATCGCCGATAAACAACGGAGTAAAGTGGAGAACTTGGCCAAATACATCTATTTGCAGGAGGTAGGCACATTTCAAATTATTATTTCGGTCAGAAAATATTAACTATTTTACACCAAACCAGTGATAATATATTTAAATAAGTACCAATTATATATGTTTCTATCAAGAAGATTTAGGGTAAAAGGTAATGTAAGTCCACTGCTGTTTATCTGAAGTTGCAAGCCACAAATTGACGTTGAACTATGATTATTGCATGGTCATTTTCTTGTGAAATACTAGTGCTAGGCATTTCACACTTACCAATGACCATCCCCAAAAGTACCATCTCTGAACCATTTAAGCACCTCAGAATAGCCAAAGCTTTTATGGTTTGGTAGATAGCAGTATGACGAAAGCGTCGTTTTTGGGTGTGGTCAGTTTCGGACGTTTCGCCCCGGATTGGGGTTTGGGCAGCGTTACCATGTTGACCGTCATGGTCAACTTACCCTAAAACAGTTGAGATTATCTGTCCTAAATGAAATGCATACAAACGCATATACAGGTCCTAGACTAACTGACTCAGTTTTCAAAAGTGCCTTTGGGCAAAAAATGCAATCTTAATGACATTTTTCACGCAAGAAAAGGGCATTTTGCTCCCGGAAAAAGGGCACTTGGCAAAACTGGGTGGATTGCTGGCCCCCTGGTTCTTACGCCCTGATTGGCATCAACCTCGTTCCCAGGCTCTTTCCTCTTGTGAAGCAAAGAAGCAAAGTTTCCTCTTTGTTTCATAAGAGGAAAGAGCCTGGGAACGAGGTTGGATTGGCATCACCTTTAGTATACAGCTATTCCAATTAAGGTTGCCCACTTGCCCCCAAGCAAAGCGGAAAGGTCGAAAACGAGTGCGAAATGCTTGCTGGAAATCGTTAAAAAATTAAAAAGTTTTTTAGCGATTCCCAGAAAGCCTTTCGCGCTCCTATTCTACTTTTCCGCTTTGCTCGGGGACAACCTTAATTGAAATAGCTGTATGTACATGAACTTGCGGTAAGGGCCTATCAACTGGCCTCTGTATATAGCTAAGTTGGTTGGAGCGCTACAAGGAATCGCAGGGCCGCAGGTTAGATTCCTGACCGAGGGCGTGTAGTTGCATCTTTCATGCACAACTACTCCCGTTTAGGTCCATTAAATGTATTGGATTCACATTCGAAAATTTCCGCGTACAAAACCTCTTCTACAGTTAGATCTGTTGCATGATGCTGAAAATCGTGAGTTTGTTTTCCCTCGAGTTTGACTTGAATGTTTTCCTCGATTGCAAGTCTGTAATGAACGGGAGAAAAACGGCGATACAACCAAGTGAACACTGTATACAGATAGGGCATGCCTCGTTCACACCATTAATATTCAGCGCGTACGGTGGATGCAGTCGTGAAACATATATTTTTTTGAATATACGGTGCGACTATCGACGAAGAAAAGTAAATGTAGGAAGTGTGATAACTTGGGAATGAGATGAGATACGAACAAACTGTAGGCGTCATTTGTCATCATTTAAGCAGTACCTTTTAATAAGACAATAACAATCGAGGCAAAAATTTCGTTTCCTAAGCGTGTACTTTAAATGCAAAAATTAAGACCAACTAAAGACTTTTAAAACTTTGCAACAACTTTGCTCAAGAATCGCGAATCTCTCAAATTTTTGCATTTTTTAAAATTTTGAACCGCTAAAAACTTTCATTATACAAAAAATAAAAAATTCTGTAATGCCAGGAATATTTTACAGAAGAGTACGACATTTTTGTATTTTCCAAAAAAATGGCATTATTACAGATTTTTTTTATATTCTGCTAATTGTTAGCTTTTCGTTTTTTTTCTATTTTGCTAATTGTTAGCAAATTAGAACGTCGTTACGAAAAAATGGGGTCATAATGCTTCTTTTCCAACTATACCAGACGATAGACCAATTTGGAGCTAGTGAATTTCGATCGTACATGTATGTCGCCATAGCAACAAACTATCTGTTACTAAACTAATATAATTCGAAAGTAGAGATATCAAAATATCTAAAAAACTCAATATCTGCTGAATAAATCTAAAAATGCGTGGTTTGAACATTTCAAAGTGTTGAACACCTGAGTTTTTGAAAACTGTATCGAGCCAGCTTAAGTATGCTCAAGGGTATGCTTGAGAGGAACTCAATTTTAAATTATTTTTGTTATATATGTATATAGTTTATATATATGGTTTTAATAGTTTCATTGTAAATATTTTATAGTCAATAAAAGTTGTCATAGTTATTAATGTTTTCCTCGACTTGAGACTCCCGGGAAAACATAGCTATTTCCCAAGGGAGCAGGCATTAAGTGTATATTAACTTATTAATAGTTAGTTATATGGTAAATAAACTTCCACGTTCGTTTCCATCTAAACTAATAATTGGATCCGAAGTACTTCACAACTGACTGTTGCGGTTGCCTTCCTTAGTCACTCATTGTGAAAATTAAGTAAGTATACGAATATATTTATCTATACAGGCGAAGATAACACATAAAATGAAAGAATATCTACAGGGTGTATCCAAAAAGGTAATCTAAATTTGACAGGTTATTGTGTACGTTTATAGGTTTCCTGTTTTCATATTTATAAAGATCGTGCTTTTAGCTGTCAAATGACGCTTTCATGTGATCGTTGCAATAAAAAAGAACAAATACGATCTGATTTAAAGTGATCGGCTGAAATTGCATTTTTCACCTTTAGGACTTAACTGTTCTTCCAATTGTTGCTCATTTGGGAAACGTATGACATTGCGAGCTCTGCAAACGTCCAGTTTTGCAAAATCATTTAATCACTCGATTTTGATGCAAAATTGCCCATGCGAGTAGAAATTTACCAAACTTTGATTCAAGCGACTTGAATTTGAATCCCGAAAGAGGAAAATGTCAATACAATAGCTTTACATGCAATTCGCAAAGGTGGAAATGCGATTTCGATCGGCTATCTATGATCGCAATGATCCAAGAAAGATATCACCCGAGAGTTAAAAGCCTGGGGCCGGTTGTATAAAAACGTCGATCGATTGTTCACTTTAATTATGATTAACGTCAATTAATTACTGCAGTTAAATCCTTAACTATGATTAGTTAACTACACGACTTCTCGTCGATTTCAGTTCACTTTCAAGACGTACGCGGTTGCGAAGTTCGTTCCCAAGTTCCCAATTACGTTTCGAAGTTCGGAAGGTGGGCGGGAACTTCGCAGCGAACTTCCGAACCACTGTTCCGAACTTCGAAACGAACTTCCGAAGTTCAGTCGACATATGGTGTGACAAATATATGATATGGCGTACGAAGAACTGACGGATTTCTTAGGAAATATCGAATAAAAGATTGTTAAAGAAAGTTACGAAATAATAACAAACACGATTATTAAGAGATAACTTTACATCTCGGCTCTAATTAAAGCTGCTAGATCCAGAAATTTTAGAGGTTATATTTGCCAAAAGTAAACTGCTCATGGGATCTCGAAAAATTCTTGACTACCATGCACTTGGATTTGCTGCGCAAGAAATCGCCGTTATCAGAGCCTAAACCACAGCAAACCGATCCCGCAGGTGAAGTTCAGCTGACTCAAAGCCAAAGGTAAGACACTGTTTCACGCAAAATTCATGTAAATATAAATCGAAGAGCTGGAAATTTGTTCTGCGTGTTTATGCTTCTTTCTCTTACAATTACGAGAATACTTTTTTAATTTAGTTTTATGTCGGTCGCTTGTCTTGGTCTGGGAAATTTTTATATTGTTCTTCTCATTGCTATCAGCTTCAAAATAACATGTATTTTCGGGGTTGATATTTTCATCATTTCTGCCATTGTCATCGACTGGCGACAAGTTCATGTTTACGTTGAGATTGAATGCATTTTGATTCTGTACATTGTCATTGTTGTCATTTATAGACTGCACGTATTCTTGAATTCCATGTATGGCCTTAAAAGCCACATCTCCAATATGATACGGAGTTGCTCTGAGTCAGTTGTCGCTTCCGGCGGAATCTTTCCACTATAAATGATGAGAATACCAACGCCAAAAATACATGTTATTTTGAAGCTGATGGCGATGAAAAAAAAAACAATATAAAAATTTCCCAGACCAAGACAAGCGACCGACATAAAACTAAATCAAGAAAGCATTCTCGCAATCGTCAGAGAAAGAAGCGTAAACACGCAGAGCCAGTGGCGGCGCCAGCCCCTTGGGGGCATTTTAGAGGCAAACTCATATTTTGGGGGGAGCAAGATAGAATTTTAAAAAAGGTACTGCTAGTTGCCCATGCCGTTGTCACAGGACTCTCAAAAGGGGAGGGGCAATATTTTAAGGAATATCGCCCCCGGGGGCGAATATCTCCTAGGAATATCGCCCCCAGGGGGGCGAATGTCTTAGGAATATCGCTCCTCTTTAGGATATTCGCCCCCCCCCCCCC